GGTTTAAAGAAGATTTGGGATGTGAGGGGGATTTGGGGTTTAAAGGGGATTTGGGGCTGAGGAGGGTTTGGGGTGTTAATTTATTGAGTATATAATAATAAATGTCAGTAATTAATTTTTGGGGTTATTAAGTATTGGAGTATTAATTGTGAAAGGTGTGAGGTAGGTATTAATCATATATGGAAAGATTAATTGTAAAGTTATGGGATATTAAATATAAAAGTGTGGGATATTAAAAGTGGGAAATGGGGAATGTTCAAGGTGTGAAATTTGGGGTTTTAAAGGAATAAAAATGGCATTTTGAAGGGATAGAAATGGGATTTTAGGGGGATATAAAAATGGAATTTTAAAGGGATGTAAAATGAGATTTTAAAGGGATTAAAATTGGATTTTAAAGAGTTATAAAGTGGGATTTTAAAGGGATATAAAATGGGATTTTAATGGGATGAAAAACGGAGTTTTAAAGGGATAAAACGGGATTTTAAAAGGATGAAAAATGGGAATCTAAGGGATAAAATTTGGGATTTTTAAGGTATAAATGTGGGATATTAAAGGAATAAAAAATGGGAATTTAGAAGGGGATAAAATTGGATTTTAAAGGGATATAAAATGGGATTTTAAAGAGGCATAAAATGAGATTTTAAAGGGATATAAAATTGGAATTTTGAGGGATAAAAATGAGGTTTTAAGTGATAAAATTTGAGATTTCCGAGGTATAAATGTGGGATTTTAAAGGGGCAAAAAACGATATTTTAGAGTGATAACAAATGGGATTTTAAAGAGGTAAAAAATGTGATTTTGGAAGGGTTTTGCTGCTGTTTTTCCCAGGAGCCCTGTCCCCAAAAAGCCACCCTGGCCAAGGTGGTGCCAACCCCCAACAACGGCTCCGTGGAGCTGGTGCCAATCCACAGGGAGCAGGTGAGGGAAAATTCGGAATTCTGATGGGATTTATCCAGAAAAAATCCAATTAATTTCGAATAATCCACGAGGAAATGGGGAAAATTGGGGATTGTGGGGAAAAATCCGGGAATTCCATGGAATTCATCCCTAAAAAAATCTAATTAATGGGAAAGAAATTTGGGAATTCCAGGCAAAACCATTCAGGAAAACACTGGAATTTTGGGATTTTTCTCTATGAAAACTTCAGAATTTTGAGATTTTTTTTTTTTTTTTTTCCCAGCAAAACTTGGGAATTCCAGGATTTTCACCCCATCCAGGCTGGAATTTTTTTCCAGGAATGTGAAGTTTGATTTTTTTTTTAATTTTTTAAATTTTTTTTAATTTTTTTTTGCAGGGTGAGGATGGACAGGAAGCTCTGAGCTTCGAATTCCAGAAAATCAAATATTCCTACGAAATCCATGGAAAAAAACAATTCCTGCCCGTGGCTTTCCCTGTGGAACATCCCTTGGGATTTTACCAGAATTCCAGAGGATTCCAGGAGGAGCAGGAAATTCGGGAAGCTGAGAGAAAATTCGGGAATAACAAGTGAGTTTTTTTCTGGAATTTTTTGGGGGGAAAATATTGGGGAAAAAAGTTAAAATATTCTGGGAAAATGTTGGGATATTCCAGGAAAAAAATGGGATTCCAGGAAAAAAATGGGAAAGGATTTTGGGAAAATATTCCAAAAAATTCTGGGAAAAATATTTTCAAAAATGTTGGGAAAATATTCCTAAAATATTTCAAATATTTTAAGAAAAATGCTTAAAATGTTCTGGGAAAATAGTCCCAAAAATTTTCCCAAGGATTTTCACAATAATTTCCAAGGATTTTTCTGGGATTTTTCCCAAAGATTTTTCCTGGAATTTTTCCAGGATTTCTCAGGGATTTTTCAAGGATTTTCCCTGGAATTTTCCCAGGGTTTTCCCAAGGATTTTTCGAAGGATTTTCTTGGAATTTTCCCGAAATTTTTCAAGGCTTTTCACAGAATTTTCCAAGGATTTTCCAGTGTTTATTCCAAGGATTTTCCAAGGGTTTTCCTTTTTCCAGGGCAGAAATGGTGGTGCCAGAATTCCTGGAGCTTTTCAAGGAAAGAGCCACGGCGCCGTTCTTCGTTTTCCAGGTAAAAATCGGGAAAAATTCCCAAAATTTAAGGGAAAAAAAAAAATAATCTGGGAAAAATCCCAAAAAAATCTGCTAAAAAAGTGGGAATAAAGCCGAGGAAAATTCTCAGGAATTCTGGGCTGGGTTGGCAAAATTTGGATCCCTTTTCCCTATGGAATTTGTGGGAATTCTGGGCTGGATTGGGACAATTCTGGTCCCGTTTTTCCTGGAATTTCCTCTTTCCCCGCCACGAAAGCTTCCCAAAATCCCGGAATTCCCAGAATTCCCAACTTTGTGGGATGGATTTTTCCAGGTTTTTCTGCGTGGCCCTGTGGTGCCTGGATGAGTTCTGGTATTACAGCGTCTTCACCCTCTCC